GGGACAGAGAGTTAGAAACATCGATGAGAGAGAAACATCGACCAGCTGCCTTCCTGCACACCCCTACTGGGGATGTGCAGGCAACCTAGGTACATGCCCTTGACCGGAATGGAATCTGGGACCTTTCAGTCCGCAGGCCGACGCTCTATCCACAGAGCCAAATCGGTTAGGGCTATAATTACATTGTTTGTCTTCCCTTGTCAAGTGGCAGGCACTCTAAAGGCAGAGGATTTTGTGTATAAGTTCACAGGTGAATCCAAAGTGGCTAGAAGACTGCCTGGCATGCAGACGATAACTGTGTTAAATAATTACACAAATGTATTAATGACCTACAAAACCTCCGATCAACCATTAGACTGGAGTTCAGGACATTTGATAATAAAAGTTGGTTTCCCCTTCTTGAAGTGCATAGAGGGCTTAGTCTTCAGAAATGGAATTGCCTAAGATGCACTTCTTGGACACTTCATTCTAAATAGGCCACAGAACTTCTTCAAATGCAAGGGCGGGGGGTGGGGGGAGAGGGGAGGACAAAGGTTTTTTATACAAAAGAGGTGAATGTTTATAATCTGTAATATCTCTTTTCCAAAATTAGCTTTATCTCCTCCTCAAGTCTGGTAGGTCCCTTCAGTGTGTCTGAATCCTCTTCTAACTTCCCCATACACCTGGGGGTGGCCAGGGCTGATGGCCAGTTTCAAGTGGCTGACAACTTAGGGTTCTGAAATGGAAAGACAACGTCAGGAGCAAACAACTTAGTTTCATTGAAGGGTCAATTCCAGAAAATAAAATGTAAGAGCTGCTTTTCTCCCCTTTATAAAAAAAAAAGTGTATTATCTGCAATTGTATATAAGCGATTGCTTTGTTATCTTCCCTTCCTTGAAAGGTTTATTTTTGTTCTTTTTTAAAAAATATATAACCATTTCATTAGTTATATAACTAACGTACACCACAGTGTGTGATTATAGCTGCAACTTTGATCAAATTTTGTTTGAGGCAAAACACTCTTGAAGCTGGTTTTCTTGCTTCAGACTGAAAGTATTTTAATTGGAAAATACCTTGTCTCATGGTGCCTCTGATCTGTATTCTGATCAGAGGCACACTTAGTACTTATAACTTATAACTTAGTACTTATAACTTATCACTTCTAACTCTAGATTACAAGCATCTATAAGTATCTATTTACATGCCTACTTTTGCTATTAAACTTCCTGAAAATATCTTGCTCATTTGTATGACCCACAAATGCTAAAACTGTGTAATTATAATCTGTTGAAATGAAATGAAACATATATAACTGGTGATGTTTGTAACTATAATATAATATTATGGCTGTATGTTACCTGCGGATCACTCCAAACTAGTCTGAAAGGGATCTTTGTATTAGCCGTGTAAGAAGAGCACCTATTATGTAGGAGGCATTCAATGAATGAATGAACACACTGAACATACTAAAGAGTAATTCTATGAGCCGCTGAGCGGTGTCCCATTGTAGAAATTCTACATATACTATTCTCTGCACGCTGTATGAAGAAGGCGAGGAAAACCAGAGGAAACTGGCTTGGAACACAAGAGGAAAGTGGCTTCTCAGGGGCTTTCTGCCTATTGTACAACTAGGAAGCGGACAATAAAGTTTATTTGAGCGTCGACGTGCCCGACGTGGCCCCGCCTCCCCAGCCGAAGCCGCGATTGGTGGACGTTCGCCGGCGACCGCCTGTTCTAAGCCGCGATTGGTGGAGGCTGCCGTCATTGCAGAACGTCCGCACGCCGGCCCGCCCTCTCG